TTTCATAGGTTATTTAGTTTAAACAAAATTGACAAATATAAAACAAATAATTATTATATTATTATGTTATATTTAGAAGTATTTTCATAAATATTAATTCGTCTTGAATGTTGATGAGCTCTACGCAAGCTAAAACACCCAAGTTGGCCATCAACAGAGCCACCTAGATGCCATAGATTCCCCTTGCCGTAGGGCATTCCAAGGGGCTGTGCGACTGGCGCCGGTTCGCGATGCGCCGCCGCTAAATGGGATCAGTTTTGGTAACGAGTTAACGAGTTGATTTCACTCCAGCGATTGCCGCCGCCGCTGCCGCCGCAGTCGAACCGGATTAGCAGTTGCATCCCCTCCGCCGATCACCCATCCCCATCCACATCCATATCCACATCCACATCCACAGCCACAGCCACATCCACCGACCGCCGACTGCCGACCGGCTCCATCTTTGTCTGCGTCTGTGCGGTGGCCATGGCCAATGTCTACACAACAAGGTGACGGCTCATAATGACGGGCCATGGCCAAGAACGTGAGCACGGATGGGCCGGGCTGCCATGGATCGGCTGGGATCAAATCGGGCTGCGCCGAGGCGTTTGCACCTCCCATGGATGAGTCGCCGGTCCCGCTCCCTTGGTCGCAGCACGGCGGGAAAAGTCGGTGGAGAAGAGCACAATAAACTGAAAAACCCAAAAACAAATATTCTTTGAGCCCTTATAAATATATTTTAGGACTGCAAAGTACAATACTTACTATATTAATAGTCCATTACCTAACGACAAGCAACATACTATTGCATATACTTTACAGCTTACATTATTTAAACCTATAATATAAAATGTAAATTACTAAAATTAAGAAAAATAAAATAAAATTCATTTACGGACACTTCTAACTTGGATAAGGCGACTAGAAATTTAATCATTATATATGTAATTATAAATATATAAAACGACTTTAAGATTTTAACAGCTCGTAATAACATAAGATCATAAAGAAAAGTTCAGTGCAACTAATGATTATAAATCAGCGGAATTTCTGCAGACCTACATATAACTTTGGGACTTGGCAGAAGTTTCTTGCAGTGTGCAGTGCCTTTGATGGTCGCTCCATATGCATCCATCTTCCAATACCCCACCTCCCCCCCTCCCCACTCTGTGGACGCTCCTGGTGCTGCTGCTGCTGTGGTTCCGTTTTTGGGGCTTTGTCGAGGGGCGTTACCCGGTGATCATCACGCATTTGCGCCACCCCTCCGACCGGGCCCCCCTCCACCCACCTCCCGGGGCCGCTACCCCCGCCGGGGCTGCCTTAATGGGTGTTATTTTGTTTTGCCGTAAATATTTCTGCAATGGGCGCTAATTAAGTTTGGCTCTTTTTGGGCTCTTTTGACTGCATCCTTCGCACTTTGTTATGTGTGAAACTTTTAAAATTCGTTGGGTCGGCAAAGATGAAAACCGCGCCGTGGTATCCCCCCAAATTGGAGGGCATTAAAGGCCCCGCGGCCCCCGCTCCCTCAGCAGAAAGTATCAACACGGCCAGCTATTAATTTGCAATTGCAAATTGCTCATACGCCATGTGGCGGGGCGACCATCTATGAATGAAGTAGTGTGGCTATAGTGTGTAGAACGATGAGTAAAACAAAACGAGAACACTGCGCCCTGACACACTGCAGCCAATTTCATTAGCCGTAAAATATTTGGCATTGTTTTCTCGCCCCGCGATTTCGCTGCTTTTATGACTCACTTCCACAGCCCGCTGCTTCATTCTCCTTCTGACTTTGCAGCTTTTAGTTGCTGTTTCAAATCGATTGGACAATAAATTAGCATTATGCGGTTACAGCCACTCAAATTCCTCGAGATGAGCTGGCACCATCATCCCGCCGACAGCGGCGGGTTCAAAGTTCTCTGCGGGGGCGACTCACGGAGTGTTATCAGCACCGCCTAGGCAACTAATTTCCGAAGATTACAATCACAAGACATTATATCATAACGGTGGAATTTCGGGCCAACTGAATGATTTTTATGCCCACTCATTTCACGTCCGATTTGATAAAATTGCGATGCATTGACGCGAACTTGTTAGAAAACAGAATATAGAATACGATCTTATCGGGAGAACACTCCGGAAGTCGCTGTGTTTCCCTTTTGTAAGCTACGGTAGCCATTTAAGATTAAAACGACTCAACTTTATTACCCCATCTTAATAAAATATTATCTTATCTAATTTATGATCTAGGGCTTGAATTCTTAAATATTTGCAATTTTAAGCTATTTTTCATATAATTGTTTGTAGGCATTGTGTGTTTAAAAATTAATGCATCCATTACTAATAAATAAAAGTATAGCATGACTTGTAAAATATGTGAGATATTTTTGTACCTAACCGAGGAATGTAAACCGCATATGTACATTACCTGCGGTAATACATTAATTTACTTTCTATAAGTTCTAGAAAGTCAACTATTTTCCAACTTAATTAAATCCTTCTCGAAGCATATTAGCATACATTGCATTCAATCGCGAAATACACTTAATAAGCCACTTAAAATGTAACATTTCGCGTACTTTTCACTGTAATTAGGTGTTTAGTTCGAGATGTGCCCCGAGAAGTTCTTCCCCCGCTCAACGTTTCCACTGGACCCCTCGAAAGCAGTATGCCCGATTACGTGTCAAAGTCCGTTTGAGTTTTTTTTCCCAATGCAAAATCTTCCACCACTGGCCAAAAACGTTTCCACTATGTGCATTTTTCCCCTCGATTTTTTTCTAATTCCATCGGCACATTGGCCAGCAATTTCCATTCATTAAATCTCGCCGAGACTGAGTTTCCCATGTGCCGCACGCGTGTCTCATTTCGCCCCCACATGATCAACGGCAAAGACGTCAAATATTACTCATTCGCCACCGACACCCCAGTCATCGCCATCGGCTGTCATGCATTAGCCATTAGGGTTTTACACTAACGCCACCGAATATGATAATGATTGCGATAATACAGACAACGCTGGCAAGGGGCAATACGAATAGGTAACAGCCAATCTTTGTCAATTCGAGCCCAATACCGATTTCGGGTATCCGCCAATTGGACAGATCAACACGATAAGCTCAAGTCAAAGCCAATATTATCCGATCCGTGGTTGTGTTCGACACAATAGTTTAAAAATAGCTCGACCCAATCATGACAATGGCTACAATACGTCTGATTGACCGCCCGTGATGGATCATGGTGAAAGGGGGAAGGGGGGAGGGGTGGCGATGGTGTTTGGTTAAACTGAGCGGTAAACGGCGACGTCGCCGCCACTTGTCCATGAGTAACGATGAGTGCTCAATAACTTTTCGATTGATCATGATTTTGGCGCGCGGTGAAATTTAGACTGCTTTTCAGGATGCCACGCCCCCATGTCATCTCCCACCAAACTACACCACCTCCCCCACCCCGCCCCTCGCCCCTTACCCTAGGGGGCATCCGCATTCTGCGAGCGGACCGACGAGCGGCAACCATGAATGAATCGCTGTGTTTTAACGAGCGTGAGAGCTCGGCTCGCAGTTGAGAAACCTTGTCTGCCGACGGCGCGTATGAGTAATATTCTTGTGAAATTGAACGGAAATAACTGAAATTCATGCTCAGTATTTGCGGGGGTTACATCGCAATCCGATTCGGAATTGCCATCGGAACTGGAATCGGAATCGGAATCGGAGAATCGGAGAATCGGAAGTGGCGGCGAGTGAAAGTCAACCGATAAGAGTCATTTTCCACTCTCGCAGAGACCGGCAAACGAATTGTGTTTTGTTTATCTGCGAGCGGGAGAGCCGCCCGGCTAGATAGCCATATGGACTGGGCCCTATCTGGCCGAGATCGGCCCACCTAACGATCGATCAATTACTCTACGCGGCGCGAGCATGTGTCATCCGCTGGAGAGCGCTAATTTGTAATGAGTTTTGAGTATTTTGAGCATTTCTCATCGTGTTGAAATCTGGCTGGCCTAATCAATAACTAAACGGTTTTTTTCACGGCCATTAGGCTGGGTTATATTGGCTATAAATCTATTTGGTTCGCGCTAAGCTGGTAATAAATTGTTGCCATATTACTACAAATGAAAGTGGTTGACTAAGCCAAGTAGCACTTTTAATATTCCTATACAATATTCTAATACAAGTTTTCTTTATTAGCATTCAGAATAAATATTTAGTTCTATTAAGAAACTTCTTAAGCCCAATAAGATATGTTTTCAAAAAAACAGCATACCCAATTTACATATTGAAGAAGTGGTTGCAATTAAAATAACCTTATCTCAATTATTTTAGGATACTGGAATATTTTTATAGTGATTATTTAAAATATGTTACTGTGGTTTTCTGTCTGAGACATATTTGTATGACACTCTACGTCTTTGTTCTTAACTTACTTGAGGGGATAATGATAAATCCATTTCTGTCCATTCCTTCTGCTATACCTTGTCCCGATGTACAGGGTAATTCCAGGCCCAAACACACCCAGTCTCAGCCATCCGCTCGCTCAGCTGTGTTCTTTTATGGCTTTCTCGCTTTGTTTTTGGCACTCTGCGAATGTTTTGAGCGCTTTTCTTGAGCTGCCCTGGAGATTGCACACTCATGTCGACCGAAGCGAGACACTCACGTCCGTCGAGAGAGGCTCTTCCTCTCCCACTCTTCGCCTCTCCCACTTCCACTCCCACTCCCGCCCCTAGCTGCTATCTCTCTTTCGCGAGCGAGCGGCCCGGCGGTCGGGCGTCCGCCTCCTCATTAGTATTCTCATAGTGACCGAGAAGTTCGGTACGTCTCCGCCGGCCCCAAATAGCTGCATGCGAAAAAAGAAAAAGGGGAAAAAAAAAAAAAAAAGAAAAGACAAGCGAGAAAGCCACTCCAATCCACTCCAGTCCACTCCACTCCACTCCACTACACTACACTACACTCCACTCTCGGCATCGCTCTCCACGTCCGCCTCTCCAGAAATCGACAGCGACTTCAGTCGACTTCGACGGCGGGCAATTCGATCGGTTCGGAATCAAATCATAGCGGACAGTCGAAGGCAGCGCGTCGACACTTAGCGCGATAGTCCCTCTCACCGAGATACAAAAATTCGCCAATTTTGCGATTCCGCGTTCGCTTGAGTTATTATTTTGTTTTGTTTTTTTTCGTTTTTTTTGCATTGGATTCTGGAAGTTTCCTTCCGTAAAAAAAACAACCAAGTTAAGCGTGTCAACTAAAACTGAAATTTGTGCGGAATTCACAGACAACGATTTTTATGTAAATGGTGAGTAAATGTGACTACTTTAAGTATCAGTATCGCAAGGGAGATTGGCTTTTGTTATGGTTGGGGTTTTTCGACGGTGGAAAGAACGGAAGCCACCTGATAAGTGCAGGTGTTTAATGTAATGGCCAGGAATGACTGATGAAATAGTCAGTGCAATAACATATCGGGGTAGGGACTCCGATGACCCAGGAATAGTTATTAATCAGCAGAGAGGGGCCCTTCTATCTCCAGCTTCCTATGAGTCTGGTCGTTCGTGAATCACAAAAAAATTACTAATTATCATGGATCACTTCCAGAATTTCCAGGAAAACATATTGACAGCCTCCGAAGATTTGTTTTTATAAGTGAATCACGCATTTTATAAGTATTACAATTACGAAAACTCATAAATTGTTTGGAACCCTTCTTTAGGATACTATAGATACGCAAATACTTTTGGTTCTTTTGGGCTGTTTAAAAACCTTTCCGAAAATCAAAAAAAAAACTAAAGCAAAAGAGCGAAACATGTGAAATTAATTTACACGTTTCGTGCGTCCATTGATGGGGGAGGGGGCAGAGGTATGGGGGTGGGGGGGGGTGGTGTATTGGTAGTTGGCCGGCGAATGGATGCGTCAGCGGTTGAGGCGAAAAGCGACAACGATTCGGCATGGACAAGGTTCGAGCCAAGAGCGGAGGACAGGGCCGGGGCGATAAAGCCAGAGAGAAACGGCCCAGAGCGGGCGAATTTCACAAAAGTTTGCAAGAAGCCAAGTTCGTTGACCATGTTGTCCAGTGTATTAGATACAGATACGTGTGGATCGGACAGGGCCTACCCCACCAGCACCACCTGCCAATGGCAGTGGCACCACAATCACAATCACCAGCACCAGTCGACCTCCACCCCGACACACGATGATTCAGCCAGAAAAGGCGGCCAAATAAAGAAATTTATTTTTAATTTTAAATAATTATGTCAGACAGATAAAGACAGCAATAGTTAAAAAGCGCAAACGATAACAATAACAAATCACGCACGCTTCGGGACCCCAAACAATTGCGATTATATGTCCAGGTGGGAATCCCCGAGAGCGGCCAACAATCATCATCGCCCACTCACACACTCACGTGCTTGGGTTCGTTGTTTTGGTTTTGGTTTTGGTTTTGGCTTTGCTTTTGGTTGATATTAAGCAAATGTTGGCCAAGCACAAGGAGTGTGGGGAAAAAGGGGGGAGGGGGGGAGATAATATATAACCAGTCGGTTAAGTTCATACACGCGTCCGTTAGTCTTGACTTATGGTAATTGGTCCCTACTCGGCGGGTAACATATTCAACCATCGCTCGAGCACCAAGCCCTCATTTTGGCAAATCTATAAATATATATATAAATATCCGAAAATTGTCTAGACCAATATATAAACCTGTTGGGTTTTCTTATGTTAAATACTAACGTGCGCCCAATGTTTGACGTCAAGGCTAGCCAAAGGTTTGTGCCATTGTATTAAACCCTATTTGTCTGTTCTTTGTTTTCTTTTTCGGTACCGCCCAATAGACGACAGCTGACCGCCCGCTCGACGTCAGCAGGAGCAGCGGAAGCGGCAACAAAACGGCCAGCACAAGGGATCCAACGCAACCGCCGCTGTCGCCGCCGTCCGTGGATCGACGTCGTCCGAAAGGAATCTGGTCGCTGCTAACGCTCGCCTTGGTCATGAGCCAGCTTCTGCACTTCCCATGCTCCGGCGGCGGCTGCGGCGTCTCGGCTGCACCCACGCCCGACCCCGCCACCACCTCCACCTCCGCTCCCAGCTTCATAGTCCCGCTGAAGCACCTGCAGAAGCGCAGCCACTCGGGGGTCACCTTCTGGCTGCGATTCCAGGAGGAACTGAAGGCCAGCAGATCGCATCTGGAGTGGGAGAACACCTGCGGGCACAATCGCACCGGCCTCAATCCGAAGCGCAATCGCCAGGCGAAACGCTGCAAGAAGCGACAAATGGTAAGTTTAAATCACACCCCCCGCAAAAGGACCAAACTAATTGAAAAAAAAAACAGATCTTACAGAACCTGCAAATTGAAACCGCTCGGAATTTGAGGCACGTTCAGTCCGAGGACAAGGCCAGGACCACCACCAATCCGGACCAACTGGCCACCAACAACTCCAAGGCCCTCGATATCATGAAGAGGCGAAAGTGGACCCTGCACAAAGTCAACTACAAGTTTCTGCCCCGTCTGAATAACAGCAGTCAGCAGGTGAGCTAAATATCCGACTACTTTTCCCTAAGATACAACCATTCAGTTGCCATCCAGTGAGTGATCACTTACAAACATCAAACACGCCAAAGTGGGTTCTTCTGTTGCCAGGGAGCAGCTTGAGGTGATAAAAAAGAGGGTCACGTGAGGCCTGCGTAGGTGCAAACAGGCCGTCACAAGTTAACTGCGAGTGGAGCGGTCATATGAGTCCGAGTTCGAGACCGAGTCCGAGTCCGAGGAATCGTGCCGGTAGACGCGAGAGTGGTCTCTATAGTTTGGCCAAAACACTAAACTGATCGTTGACACTGGATGATGGGCATGGTAGTTGAGATTAGCTAGAAGTGGTTAGAAAAGTTTCAGAGTAGCGTCCCTCATCCAGTTCACAGAGCCTCAACTTGCCGACCGCACCTCGCCCCGATTCGTCAGCATTAGCCAGCGTTTCGGGACGCCCCATTAACCGTCGATTTGCATTGGCAAACAACAACAGCACGAGGGGGAACATTAGCAATCGATGCCATAACCACATAAAGATTAAGAGTAAATTGACGGCGTGCGCTCGCCTTTTTGAGTATTGTTTATTTAGATCCATCGCAGCAAACCCCCCTCCCCATCTCCCTACCCACCGAACCGGCCTTGATTCAAGATCACGTTTTATGATTGCCTTACCCCGTATATTGGATCGTTCTGATTCGAAACCGATTCAAAGCTGAAACGAAAAACCGAGCTAAATAATTCCAAGTGGATAATTCGTTGGACAAACAAAATAAAATCAAGCGTGAAATTTTATTTATTTACACTCTTGACAAGTAAACAACAACAAACAGAAGGTAATCAAATTTTGAATTATATTCGGCATCGATATCTGAATTATTGTGTTGACGGATAGAGGAAAATTATGGAGCTTCTCACTTTGAAACTTTAGAGTCTGGAGCGTAGATTGGTTGAGGGCCCACACAATTTCATTTAACTGAAGTGTAGCCATTTAGTAATGGCAAATTGGCACCCCCGACAAATGATACCGTTTCGGGGGCTGGGAATTCGGAAATAGTTTCGCCCTGGCATGGGAAATGAGCAAACCCAGCTGAGGAAAAACCCGAGGTGACCGATAAGCCCGTGAATAATGTCGCCGGTTAGGTGGGGCAAGTGGGGCGTGTGGAGTGTGTGGAGTGTGTGGAGTATGGGCTCAGGAATGTAGGAGCCAGTATTCGCGGAATAATTGACTAATCGCGGAGCCGGCTTATCGTAACGGCGGGTACAAGTCAATACGACGTGACCACATGGCAAACCGAACCCCAAAAAGGGTCTAACCCACTTCTAGGCGTCATTGGACGTCATTGAGGGGGTGGATCAATCGAGATCGGTTTGGTTGCCTCAATGTGCTAATTCGAAGGTGTCCGGGAAAGTTTCGTGTAAGACAGAATTATCTGCAGATAACCAGATGAGGGTAGTTCACTTGGCATAGTCATAAACGGTTTTATGAGGGCCCCCCTTCTAAAATCGAGAGCGTGGTTAGGAGGTTTTGGTTTCGAAATAGCCCACATTTGGACCAGGGAAATAGCCGACTCATCTAAAGTCAGCCAAACGTCGCGATCAGAGTACAGGTGTCTCAAAGGTCAAACCAACTTGGAGTTTTTTTATTACTCGTTCTGCTAAACTTAGCCAACACCATCACTCCGTTCATTTGCCAATTCACTCAATCGCCTATTCAGGGCGATGAGCAAAGTTTGGCTTTCGCTGAAATTTCTCAATTGTCGTCATAGGTGGGGAAAAGTACCTGAATCTGAGATCACACAGAGAGAAAACACAGGCATTTAAATGACAAATCACAGACTTATATTGGAGGCTATAAGCCTGTAATTTGTCATTTAAACCAATTTTTAAATTGAAAAAAAAAATTATTTCCCGTCTCACTTTTGTAAACGATCTAAGACCTCAAGCCACTTTTCTACAACCTTTTCTCGCTCTGTACCAAGCTGGGAACTTGCCGCTCGGGATGTGTGCAGTGTCAATATTTGGCCAATATCGGCTACGTCAATGCCAATTGCGCCAACTAATTGTTGACATCCCCAAGCGGAACAGAGCCCAGAACGGAACCCGATCCGATGACGAGGTGCCAAGACGGACTGATAGAAGAACTCTATTTATAGGCATCGGTTCGTTTCGATACCGAGAAGCGGCCGTCTTTTTACGTCACATATTCCGACCGCTGATAGCAGCGGGATCGGAAGAAGGACGGAGTTTAACGATGATTTGTTTGAGCAGTTTTCAACGCTCATTTATTGTAAATGACACACTCGCGTTCGCTGGGCGGTACGATGATGGTGCGAGGGGGGAAGGGGGCGCAATTCGCGGTACGTATACGTGATATGTGATATGTGATTCATGCGAGCCGAACCGAGCCGTGGGTTCCCCCGAAACTCAAGCGAGAGCGAGCGAGAAAGGGCGAGCCGCGAGCGGCATGAATGAAACGAAGATACGACGAATACGTCACGAGCAAGCAGCCGAAGCGTAGCCGAGACCTCAAACAACAGTTACGAGAGAGCGCCGAGCGTTCGGCTCAATTTTCACTTTCAGCCGCCGGGCAGATACATTCATTTTTTTTCTTTTTTTTTTTGAGGGGGGGAGGGAAGTGTTGGTTTCGACGAAGCAGCGCAGCCAACGCGGTTCACTCAACCCAAAACAATCGAACTATTGGTCGGGCTATATGCCAAATAGCCACTAAATATATGCCATATAGATAGCGAACAGCACGTTCACATATCCAGTGTCCCCTGCCTCGTAATACCTTGATTTTACAATTCCATGATGGGACTTTAATTGCAAGAAGTAAGACCACTATATCGTATCATTAAAGGCTTTTTGATATCAACAACACCAAGCTGCTTTAAAAACAATGGGACCAAAACTAAGAACATTAGATGAGCCTGTGATCTTGGGTCACAATACTTAAATTTGTATTAACGATTTATTAATCAGTTTTATATATATTGATATCTTTTTAAAATTTTGTGTAAATATTTCCTTATCGAGTTACGAATAACATTCATAAGATTATATTAATTGAAATTTTCATATAATAAAAACTTAATCGTAATTTATATTTCATATCAATATGATCTTCAGAATGAAAAAGTTTAAATGTAAAATGACTCAAGGTAAAAATAATATGCACCCGAATTAAACATTAAATGACAAAAATTAAAATATGATTGATTATATTTTTTTTTAAAGGATCCTATTATCACTGTTCTTTGGTTATAAACATTATCCTTGTAATTTTGTAAGCATCTGCGGTTAGAAACTTGCTAACAGGCCTTACTTCAAAGAGATACTCAAGATACCTTGGCACTTTAGAACCTTCACACGAATATCACTCATGATTATTTTATAAGCATTGCGGTTTTGTGCTGGCAAACCAACTAAGCCGATTCCCGTTTTCCTTAACCCATTCCAGCTCAATCTGCGACATGTGCACCGCGACCTGCAGTTCTACGTGGGCGCCTTCAGCTATCTGCGGCACGCCAAGATGCACTGGGACTATGCCAATTTGCAGGCGGAAAGCGTGCTGTCCGAGGAACTGCTGCGCATGCGCACTTCCGCGAGGCAGGTGCTCTGCAGCGTGGAGGGGGCCATCAACCTGACCAATCTGCTGTACGGCCGCCAGCCGCCGTCGAAGGCCCGTCAGCAGCGCCAGAAAAAGCGGCAGGCCTCGCCGCTGGTGACCTACAAGATCATACCGCTGAAGCTGATGGAGAAGCGGTTGCAGCAGTTCAAAACGCCGCTGGTCGAGCTGCACCACCAGGCGACCTTGGCCGCCAGCGGCGCGGAAGTGGCCCCGCCCCCCGCCACCAACGACCTCCAGGTGGACGCACTCTTCGTCAAAATGGAGTTCGTCCAGTACCTGAAGAGCATTCGCAAGATCCTCGACGGCCAGCGGAAGCAGCTGTGCCAGAAGAAGTCCTTGCAGATGGTTTCAGGTGGCAAAGTCAAACAGATCAAAAGCTAATGAGAAAGAGCTTAAGCTTATACTTAATAGCTCACAACCGGTGAAACCTCCATTCCACGAAAACGAGGCTCATTCCATGAAGACATAAGACATCCTTAATTTATTAAACATCCTCTATTTATTACTCACGCCACCATACCACCAGTCACGACGAATCACGAGGAATCCCAGACACACCCAAGGCTATGAAAAAAACCGAATAAGTAATGAGAACAATCAACCAATCAACAAAAGCGAATGATATCGATATCTAAGGACGAATGTATTTTTTTTTTGTTTTTTGCGTAGCTGTAAGTCCCATTGTATTATTTATTATGTCAACTCGCCAACAATCTGCCGCACATTCCGCTAGATACTAAGTATACTTAGATATACATTGCCTTGTATTACGATGCTGTGATAGTAGATGATTAAAGTAAAGGCCACAAGCTATATATCTCCCCCGACTATATACACGGATATATGAACGTTTATACACACCTCTATGTAACATAGCTTTGTGTAGGTATTAACATTTTAGAAATCAAATATAAAACAATTGAAAGTACACACGTATCGGGAGTTTTTCTGCCGACCGGGTGGTCGTTCGATGAAGGGGGAATGGGAATGGGGATTCCTGCTGGCGCCATATCAATTACACTCGGTGTAGATTCCCACCGAAATTGCGCATACGCCCCGTTTTGGATGAGAGCCCAAAAGTAAAAGAGAGACATAAAAGTGTCCAAGCAATTTCCTTTTACGATCGTCGCCGCGGCTTTAATTGCAACAGAATTACGCGGCATTTATAGACTTGTTCAAATATTTTATGAGCCATATAATAATTCTCTCCTCTGGGTCACCTTCGCCTTTGTCCCTTTGTCAGCTGCGCTGCACACAAGCAACACCAGCGGTTTAACGACAAGAAATGTTCGTCGCCGCTCTTGATTCTCCATTCTCCGTTCTCCGTTCCCTCACCCCCTCCCCAGATCACCAATTCTCCCGGGACTTATCGCTGGGCCGGGATCTAAGCGCGCACCTTCACTGAGCACTGGATTTTTGATGTTCTCCTCTGCGGTTTGCCGGAGTACCCGAATCGGCTTTATCGCACACAATCAGCAATTGTCATTAATTTCGGACTCGGTGTACGTGCTCCGATTTGTCTGCCCAGCACTGCTCCTCCGACTCCTACTCCGACTCCTTTTCGGTGACTGATTCAACAATTTAATATGCCAAAGATAGAGCGACAGAGAGGGATGCACTCCCATTCCCATTCCCGTTCCCCGTTCCCATCCCCAGTTAAGATGGTTATCGGACTGATTTTATTGTGTCCTCTCCCTGCGGCAGCCTCTCCGTGTGATCTCTGGCCAAGATCACTGGGATGTTGGCCAGGTCCGAGATCCGAATGGGGCAGGCGGCGCACATGCAACTATGCGATCCCATTCATGGCCTTTCGGATCGCCATCGCCATCTCTACTTTAGTCAACTCAACCCCTCTCTTTTTCGCTGCTTTGCATGCAATACGGCCAGCGTCAACCCTTTTGTCCCTTTCAGGTGCACGTAGCGCACATCTATCTTCAGTTTTGATAGGTTTTTATTGGCCTGACCTTTATTAAATTGAAAATTATGTCTTTCTATGAGAAATGTTGAAATTCCTTCAGCTCTCCCAGTCCGGAAACCCTTTATTTGTCTGGGCATATGCGTTATCGTTCAGATTGTGCGATCCAAGGGCTAAGTACTAATGGTCATTAATGGTTAGTCTTGCAATATTGCCCATTTTTGTTTTGTGGTTAGATGGCCTTAAATAATACTGCTTGTTAAAATGTCTTTTAAAAATGCACACAAACAGCATCAATGAAAATAAACAAATTTACTACTAGTATTTAAAAATAAATATTGTTTTACAAAAATTGATACAAAATATATGCAATTTTAACAACACATTTACTTAAACCACTAAAAAGAACACTTACCGACTATTTATAGTAAATATTTGTTATCTGCACTGTTCTTATCTTATATGGATACTTTTTGGAAAACATTTAACTTTATTTTAATACTGAAAAGCTAGGTATTCCTGTGGTCGATACCTTCATTTGGGCCCTCTCCTCTCCTAGCTCCTGCTGAATGAACTTTTGCGCCTGCCACTGATCTAATCTAAATGTTTATTTTGTTTTGTTTCTGTTTTCTGTTCAGTTTTGAATCTGGATATTTTGTGTCCGACTGTTCCCGTCACAAGTCACGTGCACTGAACTGTTTTTTTTTTTTTTTTGTCTGGTCTTGGTCTTCAACGCGGCGGCAATTAATTTAAAATATCTTATTTCATTTGTGTTTTTCTTGTTTTCCCTCTTATTTTATATTTAACTTGTATTTGCTGTGTGTATTTTTGAGTTATGTTTTCCGCTGCTGATTTCCTCAGATAATGGCGTTACATTTATGTTCCCTAAATGTTCCCAAGGCCCCACGAGCAGGGTGACGGCAAGGAGGGGGGAGGGATGCAGGGGGGGGGGCAGCCCGCCCATCAAGGCGTGTGTCCAGTGTCCAGTATATCCAATAGTTCCGATTTGTAAAACGATTCGCGTGGACTTTTCGATTCGCGACTCTCCCACGAACTGCAATAATCGCTGGCTCATCGAATCCGTCCGCCTGTGGGAATCTATTCGCAATACGGAAGATTTTCAGGGAGGGGGGGAGGTGGGGGTTGCTCCAGTGAGGTGTTGAAATCTCCGTCCACAACTCAGCAGTTTCTCCGTTCACGGAATCGAAACCGCTTCTCAATCCGCTGGCCAGCTGCTCTTGGGCAACAAGTCGCCGCTCCCCCGCCCCCAAAAAAGTTTCCTCAAGAAGAGATCTTACTGTAAACACATTTGTCGAGCTGCAAAATTGGAGGTTGAGCTCCATTTGCTGACGGCTGTGAAAAACCCAATTTCACAGAGAAGGCCAACGCAAAAGTGCTCGAGAAGGAAAAGTGTGACATTTCCAAGAAGTTCATCGAGTCCAAGGAAAGTTTTTATTTCCATCACAAGGTAAGCCAAGGAAACATTTTAATTTGATCACAAGATCATTAAACAATCACGTGAGCGTTTATAAATAAAAGCCTATGCTTGTGTTTTTAACGAGGTTATCTTTAAACATTTAGTTTAATTGAGTTTGCCGCTTAATTATCTAAAATTGCACTTCTGTCATGCTAAATTTACCTCCCTCAGTGGCTTAGTGTTTATTATACAAATAAATTAACAGGTTTTTAATAGAAATTTTTATTGAGTTATTATTAACATCTCCTTATTACATTACCAAAAATGATCTCCCAGATTTAGCATTTGGTATCCTTAATATTTCCATCAAAAGATGCCCACTTTACAGCATAACTCATCCTTTGGCCAGCTGTAATCCCTTTAACTTTCTCTATTTGTTTGCCCCGAAATCGGGTCATTCAAGAACCATCTGACCAGGACATGGTCCAGTCTGAAGCCGTCTAAGCGGCGCCTTGGCCCAAATAAATTACGATCACTTAACAATGAGCAGGCCTTTTCATGACAATTTTTTTTTTTTTTTTTTTTTTTTGGCGTTTTCATGCAACCCCCCGCTTTTCCGCTTAATAAGGTCCAAAGGTGTTTTCAATTGCGAAATGGGATTCAATTGTCTGGCGGAAAAACAGCACTCGAGAGGGCCGCAAACATAAAGTGACACAAATTATGAAAGAACCACCGAGGGATCGATCGAGCGAGATCAAAGGTGACGCGCCCACTCTGCAACGGGCAACGGGCAACAAACGACAATTGAATCGCCTGCCAGCGGGACAAAAGCGGTACAGCGCATGGGGAAGGGGGGGAGGGTGATGGTGAAGCGGTACAAGGACAACGAAGGGCGAGGGGCAGCTGGACAATCGCACAATGAAGTGATCAGTGCCGGACAATGGGCAGGCGTTTTTAATTGTCAATGAATGCCACATCAGCTCTTGACCTTTTGCGGCTATTTGGGAAACAGTTGCTTCTGCGCCCTCCAGGCTGCGATCCGTGCGAAAAAGGTGGTCCACCACCCAGGTGAGAAGGCCCTAAAAATTCCAGCGCAGCGCAGCCGATTCAGATGCCGATTTTGATGAGCGTTGCGACAATGGAATTGATATAATTAATGGCCAGTTTGGCGCCAGACTTTCGGGACACGAAAAGGGAAGAGAGACTCGGCAACTGAGAGGCACAGCGTACACTCAGGAAAAAAATATGTTAATATATACATATGAAAAAGTAGTGATATATTCTCTATTAAAAGTCAATTAATCGAGAGGAAAGAGAAACATGGAAAATAAATCTGATATCAGACCAAAATATGTTATATGTAACTTTCTCTTTTGGGGCTTATAAAAACATCCGATAATTTAATAACCTTTTTAGCAATCCTACATTTTCATGTGTTTAAAATCATATTTAATATATGATTAGTAAAAAAGATTAATAGATTTATAGCCAAAGTATTTTCTTCAGGTGCACATATTTTGCATCTGATGTTGAATCAGAAAAGGTGGAAAAATTGATGAGCGTGTGCCTGCGATATCCTGTCAGAGGAGGCGGGGGTGGTGCCAGCTTATCGCTGGACAGGATCAGGGCGCAAACAGAACGGATAATAAGATGAAGAGGGAGAGGGGGAGGGGAGAAAGGGGTGGGGGGTATGCGCAAGTCAATCAGTCAAACACGAAGGCAATCACTCAATGGGAACACACACACGCTGGCAAAAGGGGCGAAGAGGTCACAATTCACAAGTGGCCCGTCAAATATTGACGGAACCCCTTTCGGACAAAGGCCCAGGACAAAAAACTTCACAGGCGAATGCGATGGTCAAATATTTGAATATGGAATCCCGGCATGCCGCTCCCTCCCCCGCCGTCCCACTCTCCCCCGCCTCACCGCCTTAAGGGATGTGGAATGCGGTGTCGATCTTGTTAACTGATATCGCTGCAGTTGCAGTTGCAGTTGCAGTTTCAGATGCAGTTGCAGTCGGTCCTCAAGTGCTCGAGTGCTCATGTTATCCTGGACAGTTCATTAAACCGAACGCGACTGGACTGCAGTTAATTGGTTGCCCATTATGGAGCTAGTCTGGGCCCGATCCGATCCCAGCCGATCGATCCGAGGCGAACGGCAGCTGTATGCAGTGGGAAAAAATAAGATCGGAATACGAAGCGTTGAAGTC